TCCCCAGCCCCGAGGAGCTCTCTGAAAGCCTCCATAAGGATATGCACGGCCATTTTGTTGAAGGGGCGGGGCTTCAGGAGACAAAAAATGCTCTATTCAGTGTATAAGACGCACCCAGATTTTCAAGTTAGTAATTGGCTCACTCAATTTATTAGAACTTTTATTACGAAGATCACCATGTCCATCAATAACTATTTGATAAGTGTAACTGGGTGCATTTTTATCATCATTTTTCCAACTTAAGTTCAGTGTTGTGTTGGTGATATTTTCAGCATGAATACTATGAACAGGATTTGGCTCTGTTTAAGAAACAGAAGACAATTTTCTTTGATCAGAGAATTAAAATTTTATCATACCATTAAGTATTACTAACCCAGATTACGATTTGTTACTGTATACATCTTCTCTTTTTCACCATTTAGAATAGAATAGAATAACAAAGTTGGAAGGGACCTTGAAGGTCTTCTAGTCCAGCCCCCTGTTTAGGCAGGAAACCTTACACCACTTCAGACAAATGGATATCCAACATCTTTAAAATGTCCAGTGTTAAGGGTATTCACAAATTCTGGAGGCAAGTTGTTTCATTGATTAATTGATCTATTGCTTCAAATTGTTTCTAATACTGTGGTACCATTTTAAGGTACGACAATCAAAAGGATGCTTAATATTATTACAATTTAAAAATGGCATGGCCATTTTATCACCCATATTAAGACTTTAGAAGCAGAATGTATTAAACAAATGCTACAACACTAATACTAGGATTTATTAATAAGGAAGATATACTAGCAAAACTTAATTATTTATTTATCTGAAAGTATCAAGCTGAAACCCTATCCTGTGGCATGCAATTATATTCTTATAAGAAAAGAAAGAAAATGTAATTTACAGTCTACATCGCTATACAACCAGTGTCGAGATAAGGCTTGTTTTTAAGTAGTGCAGCAAAAATGTAACAAATTAATCTATGAGGCTCCTGTTACCGTGACATATTGGAAATATGATAATAAACTCTTTATGGAAGAATTCCAGCAACTACTATGTATCAAATGCAATCCCTATTTACTATGACATCAAGATTTAAATTCTTGCACATTTTTAAACCCTGCACAAGATCTTGTTGAATGGGAAGAGAGGTTTCCATCTGCCCCTTCTTTAATAATGGAAAATCTGTTTGCTTCTGAACTTCCGGGGAAGATGGTGGGCTGAAGATGGTTCTGTGGAAAGTGGAGCTAATGTCTGCAACCACAAAGAGAAAGCCTCGAAGGAGACTGGCTACTTTGACACTCCCTGGATAGAAAAAGGACTCGAGATTGCCCAAGCTGTTCCCCTTAGAGTTTTCCTCATGAGAAGACAAATGGGTGTCAACTCATATTTGCTTCATGATGATCTATCACTGAGCTAGTCTTTCACGTCTTCCAATGGTTACTCATCACTACTTAACTGTTTCTTAGAGATGGGGCTTCTTCTGGAAGAGTCCCCTATCTCTCATAATTAAGAACTATTAAGGGGAAGAGAATGAGAGATCCTTCTGCCAGCAGAAGTTTCTGAGCCAAACTATTGGGGGATAGAGAATAAAAGCTCTACACTTTGCACAACAAAATCCTTGGAAGTGATCATTGCAGTCTATTTAGAACAGTGGTTCTCAATCTGTGGGTCGGGACCCCTTTGGGGGTCGAACAGCCCTTTCACAGGGGTCGCCTAAGACCATCGGAAAACATATATTTTCAAAACAAAATATGGAAAACATACAATAATTTTATGGTTGGGAGTCACCACAACATGAGGAACTGTATTAAAGAGTCGCGGCATTAGGAAGGTTGAGACCCACTGATTTAGAACACACGACAACCTGAAAAGAAACAGCTAATGGATGGTTGTATTAACAGATATTGTAGGTGGGAGGCAGTTGGTGTAAGTAGATGGATTATGGTTTGCTGTATCACCTGTGTGCTAGAACTTAGTTTTCATGACAAAACCAGGTATAACTGTTCATTCAAAACCTTCCTTTGGCAAATGTTAACTATGAGAATCACTTCTCACACAGTCAGAAGCAACTAGACGGATACTAGATCAAGCTAGTATCAAACAAGTAGAAACTGTTTCTCCCACCCAAAAGAAAATAACTTTCCAGTAGGAGAGAATATATGTAGCTCAGGCTTGAAAAGTGCTCTCTGAGAGTACCAAG